TCTTGCCCCCACGTTCATTGAAGTGAGCGCAGTTATAAACCTAACGTCACAATTTAAAATCCTGTATGATGTTGTCTACACATAGCACACACTGCATGCAAATTATTTGGAAGACAAGCTTTCACTATTTCCGCACTGGGTTATGAAAATGTTTGGTTTCCAAAGGTTATTACAATGTTCAAACTTATTTACCTTTTCTGGTTTAAAATGGAACAAACTCTTCCTGGATTTGTCGTTACTCGCTTTACATCGGTTTACGCTTCGGGGTGTTTTCTCAGCCATCTTGAATCGTTTAGCCAAGGACAATGAACAATGTAGCGACAATGCGTCTGTTTTATCAGGGCTAACTGAAGTGGAAATTTTAAGTTTAATTCCTGAGCGTCGTTTATGTCTCCTGTCTTGAAGCGTCGTACTGTGTTTGTTCACATGCTGAGTCCTTTTTGTGACATGGCGTTTGATTTCGCAGGCTGCCTCAATTCCTTCACTTGTACTGAAATCGAGCGTAACATATTATATCTTCGTTGGAAACAGGATTCATCTCTAAAAATGAGTACTAAAGATACCAGGTACACTTAGCATTTATTATTTAAAAACGGAATCTTTTTGCTTGGGTTCGTCGTTTAACATGCTCCGATGGAGCAAAATCAGCTTTTGTTAATTAATTGATTAACCCTTATATGTTAAGGGGCAGCCAAGTTGAACTGAATTAAACAAGTGCCGAGTGTACAACTATTGAAATGAAAACACCCTCAGGATTTCAGGCCAACTCATTATGCTTATTTATATACTGAATATAAGTTTTAAAAATTGGAGTTTTGATTAGTTTTGCTCATTAATAGCTTTGCTCGTCGAGAATCCGCTTCTACTTCATTTCGGCAAAATTAAAGAATAGTTCTGTTTATAACACTGAGTTGTTAATTTAAAGGTTAAAATTGTTGAGATTAAAAACAATGTTTTAAGTGAAAGACGTTCAGGCCTAAATCGTCTCGCGTCTCTCGCGTACATTGAGATACAAGCTTCAGTCCGCATGAGTCCGACTTGCTTCAACGGACTAAATTAATAAACTGCTGAAAATTTATCACTTTATACTTCTACATGAGAAATTTGTGCAGTTTGATTGGCTTAGAGCAGTAGTATTTCGGCTTAATTTGAAATACCTACATGTGAAAATTACAAACCTTCTGCGGGTAGTAGTATAATAAAGAAAAGAATAGTATGATTTGTACGTGATATTTGGCAGAAATACCACTTGTGATATTTCAAAATTGTTTCAATTTTCACTCGCCTAACGGCTTGTGAACTACGTTCAACAATTTCGAAATATCACTTGTGGTATTTATGCCAAATATCACTACAAATCATGCTATTACCTATACAAATATGCATTTAGTTTCAAGGCCTTTATACTTGTTAGAATTTCATAACGGCAGTATTTTAAACACTGGGCACAAACGAAACCACTTGGTACTGGAAATGAACAAGTTTTGCTGCGTGACTTTACATTTGTCTGTAACTTCAATCGTATTTTGATTAAATTGACAGAGACAATAGTAAAAAAAAACGGGAAATGGTTATTAATTTTACAGTAAAAGTTGAGAATATAGTTCAGTGGCGTAACTCGTGTTGCTTGTGCTGAGTGACGCAAGAGAGTTTTTAAGAATAACGAACAACACTTCTTTAGTTTTTGAGTGGTAACTGAAGTGGAAACTTACAGCCTATAAATTAATTAGCGTCGTTTTTATTTAATGTTGCGTGTAGGCGTGGCGTGTGTTTGCAAACGCACTGAATAATGTTTTACGCCAATGCGTCTGTTTCTAGCTGAGACATCGTTAGGCCCCCACTTAATTAGACAGCGACATGCCAGTTGAACCGTGCGGTAAATTACGAGCTTCTGTCGAGATGGGCAATGCCTTTAGAAATAAATAGTCGAGTCTAACATGGAAACTTTAAATTTTTAGAACAGACTGTTTGTCTCATGTCACTTATATTAAGGCCGCTGGCACAGGAAGCATAGGAAGGTATTACATCGTAGTATCGCTAAGCTGAAAACAATGGACGACGCCTATTTTTATTAGAGATAACTGAAGTAGAAAATTTTCGTTGAATTTATATGTTGTATCTTCTGGGCTATGTCACGGCATGTCTAGTTCGTTTGCTATGTATATTGCCAACTACGCGTCCTAAGTGCTATGGAAGTTGAGAAACTACTTGTGAATGGCAAAACCACAGCTTCGCTTCAAACAAATATCTCTTCCAAAGCATTATATCAAACCTTACAAACAACAAAAATGAACTTTTAAACAATTGCATGGCTAACGAGTTTTTTTAAAATCAATCAATCCATAATAAATATGCAATCTGGCGTTTCAATCCTATCCACGTTTGTCCAATTGTTATGTTTCACTCAGTTTGGTGGCAGTTCCCACTTCTTGAATTTTGATAAATTTCGCGGCACAGCTCCTTGAAGGTGTTGAATTTGTTTATCGAATTTTGAGCTGAGGCTTTAAGAGATTTTAAGACTGAAATTTAAGCGTTTTAACCTGAGCTTCTTGCGGTCGAGTACGCTTCTTGGGAGAGAGATGCAGTATATGAATCAAAACCCGGGATCAAAATACTGCCTCCTTAATTGCAAAACATTAGGGAAGAGAGTTTTTCTGAATTTGCTTCAATAAAAAAATTCGTCCATTTATGGTAATTTTTGATGGACTTTATAACCGGGCAAGGAGGGTCAGCGTGAACAAAGAGCAAGGTGAGCCCGGGAAGGTGAGCCATATTGCGTCGTCTCTTATAACAATTTTATTTTCATCGACAACTTTATATTATTTTGCAAACGATGCCTGTTCAGTGTAACCCTTATGAGCAAATAAAACTGCTATCAGGCAAGGGAAAAATAGACAGAAAGAGCCGAACAGCTACAGCACAATGGGAATTTCGCGGGAGCTACGGCCGCAGAAATAAACCCACTATATCTTGCCCCCACGTTCATTGAAGTGAGCGCAGTTATAAACCTAACGTCACAATTTAAAATCCTGTATGATGTTGTCTACACATAGCACACACTGCATGCAAATTATTTGGAAGACAAGCTTTCACTATTTCCGCACTGGGTTATGAAAATGTTTGGTTTCCAAAGGTTATTACAATGTTCAAACTTATTTACCTTTTCTGGTTTAAAATGGAACAAACTCTTCCTGGATTTGTCGTTACTCGCTTTACATCGGTTTACGCTTCGGGGTGTTTTCTCAGCCTGTTTCCCGGATCTGAGTAATGTGCTACTTGGCTGAGACGATCTCTTCATTCCAAGACAGTTTCAACGCCTCATAACGGGAAAAACTAACAGGGGTAGACCCGGGTAGACCACGAAATTTATAAAGAAGAAGGGTTGAAGTAACAAGTTGACCAAAATAATCCGATAAAACCGCTAATAGTAACCAGAGTAACCAGCAATAAATCCAAGAAGAACGGCGAAAATAACTCTCAAATCATCCATGGCGGCTTGCACATGACCGAGCAATTCAAACGTGTCACTAACGCTCAAGAAAGCAAAATATTTAAAAGTAATACAACTACTATCAAGATAAAATGTTCCAACAACTTTTCACGGCGGTATAATGTCGAAATTACCAACACAAGCTTGGAATAAAGCGAGAATTTCAGCATATATACCTCTGAAAAAAGCTCTTTCCAAGCGCGACAATCAATCTACAAAAACCGCATCCTGATTGGTCGAATCTCGAGACACACACCGCCTGGTTGCAGGCTAGGTTGCAAACCAACGCCTTCCATATAAAAAACCAAACGTATTGTTGCGAAAAATTAAATGTTACTTCACACTTTTCCTAAGATTTGGAAAAGATTTTATTTGTTTTCTTTCCGAGATGTCGACACGACACTTGGACTTTTGCCCTTCCGGAGACATGTGATACGACTTGATTCTATGGGTGTGATGGTTCAATATCATTGCTTTCAACAGATTGTGTGGCTAATCACTAAGCAAAGGCTTCTGTGTTGTTGAGCGGTTCCGACGAGCCACAATAATGGAGCAATGGTTAACGCCCCGCTCTAGTCTAGGTTCTGTAGTCGTCGTGTTTATGTTTTACAAATTTTAATTTTCACGTAGTATGATCATCTTTGCTGATTTATATTCTCTATGTGAATAATTCTGATAATTGTACACTCAAGGTGACAAAACTCCCATTATAAAACCTGCAATTCTATAGCTGCCTCAGTGTACAGGGATAATGGACGAGGGATTGTAACTGACTCGTCCCCAAAAGTGACAATTCTCCGCAATTACAAGTCCGACTCCTTGTACTAAGTGGGTTGATTTAGAGAATGTTAGGTATTTTACCAAGGAAAAAGGAAACTCATTCTCTGCAATAACAAAGTGTTCGTATTGAGCGAGTTTCCTAGAGAGGAGTTGAACTCTTTCGCGCTACATTTTGCGTCCCCATACCCCACATTTCGCGTAAAAGTGAGAGTATATATTACAGTTGAAAGAATGATGCAGCTCTTATACCAGATGAAATCTTGATGTCGTTTAAAGCGGGGGACGCACGGAATGAATAGGAGCAGGGCGGAGGAGGAGGGGAATTGCTTTTATCCTCAGTACTAGCAAGAACCGCTACTCTCGATTTGACAAATTGTTCAGCGCTTACGTCACTAGCAAAAAGTTTATCGCGAAAACTGAATTACATATCAAGCAGAACCATTTTTATTTTTATCCTACCATTATTTAACACCTCAGCACTTACTACACTGGAACAATAATGAGTGACATTACCTTTCTTAGACTCGTTTTAATGGTGAGAGTTTTTTTGTAACAAGTTAGTTCACAATCACGTAACCATATGAATTGCAAAAACTACCTCTACTACTATAACTTTTACTTCTGGGCAGTGATACGTGTGCTAAAATGCGCTGCGCCCTTAGCTTACTTCATGAAAACAAACAATCAAAAAAACTAATTACGCATCTTCTGCTGGCTTCAGGCAAACATTTTAGGTCTGAATCCCATTAGGTATCCATCTCGGGATAAGGTAGGGGTAGGTCAGATCACCTCTTTCCTTTCGTTCTTCATTCACTTCTTGCATCTTAGGTTGAACCTCGTACATGAGGTAACTGTAGTATTCGTTGATAAGATTGACAGCTTTGATGTCCTCAAGGTTGTTGCCGTAGTCAAATAAAGTGTCAAAACGGTATAACGCCAGGGAGTTACTGAAGCTGGCTTCGATCTGGAAATTAAGATGTGTGAAACCATATTTTCACGGTAGGAAGATATATGGGGTACCACTGGCTCACCATCAAGTTTTAGGGCCTGATTACATGGAGGTGGGTTTTAATTTGATCACGTTTACATGATAGGTGGGGTGACCCGCCATATTTTACCTCACCTACCTGGGGTACCCCACCTCCATGTAAACGGGCCCTTAGACAGAACAGTGGCTCACTGGGAAGACTATGTTGACTAATGAACTGAAACACTTTCCTCAACGAATTTATCTACTGTCGACCACAAACAGACTCCCTTAGTTACTATTCATAGTAAGGATCTCACATTTGGACCGTTGGCTTGAACGTTACCGTTTCAGAAATACCAATAATTGTTGGCATTTAAAACGCTTCATTAACATTATGCTATTAGGATAAAACTGCAATCGGCGACAAAATTGTTAAGACACTTTCCTAAAAAGAGGTGTTTTGAGCTACCCTGAGAAAGGGTCCCCCCACCCCTCCCCCCTTGACATTGTTGGGTCGTCTCCGAGTGCCCACAAACCTTAAGGCCAGCGGTACAACACTGAGTAGGGGGAGTGGGGAGGGGGACCATTGAAAGGTATTTCACACCTTTTTAAAAAAGAACAAATAAAACCATGCTCATAAGATGTCTTTTTTCCGGAGGTGTCTCAACTAGTTTTGTCGCCGATTGTGGCTTCTCTCGGAAGGTGTAAGGCGCAGTTAACATGAGGGTCTAATAGAAACTGAAACAGAAACTGTGCTGCAGTGTTGGAGGAAGAGAGGACCACAAAAATTTGGTTTTACAAGTCTAAAAGGTCAATGTATCACCATAATCAATCAAGGGATTGTGGGCTGTATCTCAGGCTACTATATAAAATGGTGGAGCTGCTTATACTCGCAATTTAAAAAAGAAAGTGAACTAGTTGAAAGAAAGACTTCCATCGACTCGGTGAAGATTTAAAATTCCGCTTTGAGAAGGAAGACTGATTGAGAGAAGGCTGGTGCTGTAATTCAATTACACGTGCAGACCGAAAAACTAACTCTCCATATCAGGAGGCAGAAACAGTGATAAAACTATTTAACACGAAAGGCAGCTTCAAACTAACACACTTAATTAGCCAGTTATGAAACTAGCTAAACTTACAGCAGATGTATTCCTGTTTGGCAGCCGCAGAACGGAGAATTCCCCCTCCTTCAGTCTGGTGTCATTGTACAGCTTCGTTGGTAGGTTAGGAATGTACTCAGCATAGTCTGAGAGCGGGTAGTTGACTGTGGAGTGTTGAAGGCTCAGTTGTGAGATGATCCGAGTTACAATATCACAGAGTTCTTCTTTAGTACTGATCTTTGGCGGTAGACTTCTAATCTGTTAATATAAAGGATAATTCACTTATATGGCTGTCCGTTTAAGGTGATAAATGGACCAGTAAATAAGTTGTACTGGCCAAATTTGTCTTTGATTTTTGGCTTTTGATTGGTCAAGAACCAGTCGCGCAAAATGGCAAAACAATCAGGAAATTACCATCAATTTTGTTACGAGATCCATAAAGAATTTCCAAACAATGCTCATCCGCAAAGAGGATTGGATAAGTTTAAAGTGCAAGGCCATTTCTGCTTGGTTAGTAGCATTTGGTAAGAACAATGGCAGCGATAAGCAACGACTGATGAAAAACTACTCAGTAACCTTACCTTTCCAATGCGGCCGTGGAAAAGAGGTTTTCCATCAATAGACAACTCATTGAGAAAGTTGCCAAATTCTTTGTCTTCCTTTACGTCTCGATCGTCGTAATAATACCTAAAACAAGAAAAAAAAATGCAGCAATTTAATTTTCTCACATATGTTCTCAGAGTCAAGAACTATCATTGATATTAAGTATCTTTGTGATTCTCAGTACGAGAAGGACAAGAGGCGGCCTCAGACCTTTCCAGATATTTCCATATGAATCTGCGCGTCCCAGTGGCTCCTCAGAGTTATTTTAGGGTCATGTAGCAGCCGCTCGGAAGAGAAGTTACCAATGGTGCCTAACACTGACCCCAAACAATAGTGAAACAATTGAAAGAATGACATTTCGTTGTTTTCTGCGACCAATCAGGAGAGACCTTACAAGCAGCTCCTACACAACTGTTATTTTATTATTTTCTAAACCATCATCATTTCATTTTTGTTTAGCAATTTTTGGATAGGGTGGCTATGATCGAGGTGGATATCATCCTTGTAATCTGCAAAATCCTTCAATCGTAAAATTGTTGTTCATAAATCTTTCAAATATATTTCCAACTTCAAAACATGCTTAACCAACCTTCCAGTCTTAATAACATTTGTCTGTTCCTCGATGAGGTCGTCTTTATTAATGTTAGCAAACATCGTCAAAGTTTGATAAACGGCTTGTTAAGAAGAATTAGCCAGGTACTAGCCAATCAGACGGCAGAGAGAGAAATCTAAACNTAATAATACCTAAAACAAGAAAAAAAAATGCAGCAATTTAATTTTCTCACATATGTTCTCAGAGTCAAGAACTATCATTGATATTAAGTATCTTTGTGATTCTCAGTACGAGAAGGACAAGAGGCGGCCTCAGACCTTTCCAGATATTTCCATATGAATCTGCGCGTCCCAGTGGCTCCTCAGAGTTATTTTAGGGTCATGTAGCAGCCGCTCGGAAGAGAAGTTACCAATGGTGCCTAACACTGACCCCAAACAATAGTGAAACAATTGAAAGAATGACATTTCGTTGTTTTCTGCGACCAATCAGGAGAGACCTTACAAGCAGCTCCTACACAACTGTTATTTTATTATTTTCTAAACCATCATCATTTCATTTTTGTTTAGCAATTTTTGGATAGGGTGGCTATGATCGAGGTGGATATCATCCTTGTAATCTGCAAAATCCTTCAATCGTAAAATTGTTGTTCATAAATCTTTCAAATATATTTCCAACTTCAAAACATGCTTAACCAACCTTCCAGTCTTAATAACATTTGTCTGTTCCTCGATGAGGTCGTCTTTATTAATGTTAGCAAACATCGTCAAAGTTTGATAAACGGCTTGTTAAGAAGAATTAGCCAGGTACTAGCCAATCAGACGGCAGAGAGAGAAATCTAAACGGCTAATCAGAGTATTTAGAAGGAACTCCGGTTTTAGGTTTGGTTTGAGTTATATACCATTAGATTACAATTCCCATTTAGATTCCCGGTTGGTGAACTCCTTCCAGAACCATTCATACTTACAAGTCTATATATTCCTTCACCATGTGTTCAATAACCTCCAATATTTTTTCCCCATCGTCTCGATAAGGGAAGTATGGAAGGAGATCCTTATCATCCAGTCCGCGTTTCTGGTTAATAAACAAAAGAAAGTGATTTGAAAACAAAACATTAGTCAAGAGCAATTTAATGTTACGTAGAAATCTAACAAGCAGAAAAAAAAAAACAACAAACAAAACAAAAGAAAGCCAAAAATAAAAATAAAAATAAAATAAATGTCATTTAATTACTAACTGAGCCCTACCTTTCTTTTTGTTATGATCTATCTGATATTACTAAACTTTGTTCAAATTGACACAGAATGAGGTAATCACCATTATTTTGTAATGAGTGAGGTATAATGTGTTTTACTCAAGAGAGTAGCTTGACCTTCTTACAACATCATCTTATTATTGAATTTTTTTATTGAGCTTTAGTACTTCACCATTCATTCCTCTAAAAATGTTTAGAAAGTAAAAGTTGAAGTTGGCTAAAACATTGATAATTATCTGCAGTGATGTCATCATCGTCATTGTCATGGCATCATTTACAAGAAAAGGACGAACTGGCACCTGTTGGGATTTAACTCCGTTTTTTAAATAATAAAAAAAGGCTTTTATCCCAAGAACTTTGCATAACTGCTGACCACGCCAGTGAAAACGATCTATAGCATTCCTGCTATACGCAAGTTCTGTTCCTGTCAAATTTTGTCTAATTTTTTAACCATTTGTAGGCTTTTTTTCTTTGCAATGTTATTAATATATTTCTTCGCAGAGTTACTGTAGTCACTTACGCTATTTTATGTACTTTTTTAACGGGCTTATTTTCCTTGAATTACATGACCTAGCTTTGTAATCTTTCAGAAATCACGCGAAACAGCTGCTAGCATAGACTACTAACCGGTAACCTTGAACAGCTAAAAGATTGGCAAGTCTTTACAGCAACTCACCTTTAGCTCGTTTCTAAAATCTGTGACTTCCCATGTGGATAATGGATGTGCATCTTTCAGTAGACGATCTGTTCCCACATTTCCAAATGCAAACAACTGATCCATATATTCTCCTTCGCCAACAAGAACAGGAGCTCCGATTGTGTTCGGTACTGTAACATCTCGACAGTGATACTGTAGTATTTGATACAACGGGTGCCGAGAGGATAGAGTTCGTCTTAAGATAACACAGAATGGTTCCATCAGGAAATGAACCTAGAACAATGAATACATAAAACCTGCAAATCAAATCATTGATCACTAGAAAATGTACTTCAAATATCACCTAGTAACCTACTATTCAAACAAAATGAATAAAACGGCAAGAGACTATTGCTCATTTCCATCCACCATGAAGAATAAACTGACCAAGCGTTTAAAATTAAACTCGAGACATGTTTTAATAATGAATTGCGATGAAATGTCTAAAATTTAAAACTGTCATATTACAAAAAAAGAACCTATCGAGCTGAACGGTTGGCGACATTAATCTCCCTGACGTTTTGCTCCAACTCACTCCATTCAACAAGGGACCTCTGAGAACCTAAGGTGGAACTCTAGATTATACCTTGTCTAGTCCCTGTACGGCGTTTTCCCAGGCCCTCTCGGTCAATTCCGTTCAGTGACGTACTGAGATGAACTGGCGGGAAACGCCCTCACATTTCGCTTGGACCACGTGACCCGAAACGCTTTGGCCGCGCAGAATAATGAGGACTAGGGACTAGGTAAGATCATACCATGTAAAGCCATGCAAGAACAACAGGTGCCGTGATACCTTTATCAACAAATGCGCTAGTATTTCGCGATAATTCATGGTTAGTTTAAGATTTTTCATGTTCGTAGTTGTAGGATTATTTTGTCCTTATGTTTCAAAGCATATCGACTGAATTACTTAGGTTTACAATAAATAGAAAATGGCTGCTAGCGAGGTATTTCAATAAAGCATTCTACTCTGTTCTATTCTATACTAAAAAATCCTTGCACCTCCCACGGCAGACTAGGCAGTCTTTCTCATAATATCACAAAAGTAATTACTGCAGTTAAGCATTTACTTTTTCACAGAATGATGTATTATCTTTCAGATGATTTATTCTACCTTAGCAAGATGTTCCACTATCTGCGCGTATCCAAGATCTGTGACTTGAACGTTTAGTTTAGCCATCATCCAGTTGCCTTCGTCTTTGGGTGTAAAAACCGCTGAGTCTAAAAAATGAACATAAAACACAAACGTGCGCCAAACAAAATGATCTACGGGTTTGAAAAACCAAACATGTTTTGACACTACCAGCTTATACTACCGACGCATTTAAAACGAAGCGATTTTGTGTTCGCACTTCTTCATTGATCTTGATTCATATGGATTGTCAGCCACATTATTTGATCGCATATCTTTCGTAAGAAAAGTGTGTGTTTAATCCATGTATACTAAACTGAGGCAATGAAACGGACAACTAAAGATTGTTGTACCTTTGGTGTGGTCCATTTGAATTGCCACAGCGACAAGATCATTTCGATCTGTTACGAAGTCTGGAGCAGAAACAAACAAAGCAATTGGAGAAAGAGTGTCCCACATGGTTCTCCTAGGATCATTATCCGTGAGGTCCGGTTCTCTGGGCAAGTCGTCACACAGTTCATAACGGAGGGCATAGATGCGGCCCTGTATAATAGCCTGAAAAAGCCAAAAATTTGGAAATCAATTAGTAATTATAAATAAGTAAGAAACAAGAGCAGACTTTTCCTACAGGAATAAACGTATTTACTAAGTAAATTACAGTCAAACCCCGCTTTACGGACACCAGCTTAAAGTCCGGTGCAAACGGACGCAACATTGTTGGCCAACAACTCCCAACATTGTTGGATATTACATGTTGCGTCCGTTTGCACACCCTGTTGCATGTTGTTGGGTGTTGTTGCGCAAAGTTTGAAACCGGTCAAACTTTTCAGCCAACAACTCCCAACATTTCTTTTGTTCCGTGATCGCCGAAGCGTAGCGCAACAATGTTGGATCCGTTTGCACGCAGCTAGTAAGAACAACTCATTAATAAGAACAGTTTGCTTTTTCCCTAGGGAAACAAAGTCCTTACGTTTTCCCTAAATTCGACCCGCTTAATACAGACACGCCGTTAATATGGACACTTTCTATGACCCCTTAGTGTCCGTATTAATGTGGTTTGATAGTACTCTCAACGTTCTGATATCTGCGTTAAATGTCTAATTCACTGTCAAAGAAACAAATGTGAACACACCTCTTCTATCGAGATATTTCCCAAAGCCTTCTGTACAGCAGCTTCCCAGTCAAAATCAGGATTTAGATTTTCTTTAAGTCTGTTCCAATCCAATCCTATTTGTTCTGAGTGATTAACAAAAGTATTCAATAATGAAGTAAAATAACACATTTATTTTGACCCCTACTGAAAGACTGACATTCATGTTATCCTGTGCAATCTTTATCCTTTAACATAAATTGGGAGTTTTCATCACCTGTCCGTGAACTAAGTTTTGCACAGTTTGGAATTTCGTGAAAAACCTACAGTTAACAGATCACTAACCTTTAGAGGCGCCATGGAAACTCACACGTCTCAATGACATTGGATTGACTCCTGCCAAACGTTGTTGACTAAAGTACTTGTCACTAATCCATTCCTTTTTGTCGTTGATAAAGGGTTCGTATTCGGACGCTCGCATTGCAACCTCCTAAAACAAACCACAGAAATAACTGGAAGTTTTAGAAAATACGAAACTTCTCGGACATAACATTGTTTGATCAGCTGTAATTTACTGTAGTTAATTATCTTCACTGTACAAAATGCACCGACAGCAAAACACGAAATCTGAATGCTTATAGTCCCTGATATGTACCGAGCATCATTTGCGCGTTAAATTTGTTGTTAGTTTTACTCTGGGTGCTTCAGGTTTCTCCTTTTTTACTGATCCAGCACTTTTAAATTATAGTTCGATCCGGAATACAAGAGGAAGAACCCCAATACGGGTGTGCTACCGGTAACTTATTAATTATAACAGTTAACATTTATAAAAGCCGTCCTGTTTATCCAGGTCAGTGGTGCTTTTTTTCATCACCAGACCGTCTAGAGCAAGTTGACTTTTCTAGAGTAGCAAGCAAAGTTATACAACACGTCTCGTAAAAGTACTAATTTATGCTTACCCCTCCCAGCTTGGCAGCCAACTCGAAAAACTTTGACAAAATCTTGTAGTTATAGTTGTGGCTAATTTCCTTCTTTGTAATGTTGTTAACCAGACTATTGTAAACGAGTTTACTTAGATCGCTCACAAGAACAGTTTGGATATACTCTTCGAAGTAGAATCTTCTAAATGGATCCACGAAAGCTTTAGCTATGAAAGACCACGGACTCGAGACATCTAACAGTGCAAATCCCCATGAGCTAGTTTTCAACTTCCATTTCTTCTTCTTTCCCTTAAGTTCCAAAGCCCTCTTTGCTCTACAAGTAACGCTGGTCTTCTGAGGAAGTGAGATCTCACATTGGCGAGTTAACAAATACCTTGAAAGCAAAGTGAAATCCCTCATCACACTCGAACCTACTGAGGAGTAGACATTATATTAGGAAACAAGAGATGGGATATGAGTCCACTTTTTCAAGTTGTCTAGACGATTATGTAGCTGTAGTGTTGCGCATGCACTTATCTTACCCAAACCAGAGTAAAGCGAGGCTATTGAACCAACCAACTTCATGTGCAGAGCGTATAGAACGTAGTATTATTAACTATAAATCGCCGTATCAACCTGATTACCCTGTATACTGAGAAAATCCTACTTTTAAAATATTTCTGGAAATACGTGTGGGACAAAACCGAGCCTTCTCGAGGACCACCTAAGTTTTCTCTTGTTGGGCGGGGTTAGAAATCGAGAGGGTCACGAGCCACCCAAATCCTGTCATGTAGACTCTTATACCAAGAGAGACTCATTTTCTCTTGCCTATACTAATATTTTTCTAGCTTTTGGGTCAAAACTTCGTGTACCGGAAACAGATAACGTAAAACTAAAGATCTCTTTGTTCTCTGTTCAGGGAAAAATGTGCCAGATATTGTTTCATGGTTTTTGTTCTTTTGTTTCAAGTTATCCGTGTCCGGTACACGAAGTAAATGCCTAACATTTTATACCAATTTAGGCCCAAAGCTATCGTTTCTCCGCTGACTGTAGTACTCACAGTTTAGCTACTTGCAAAAGTTTGTTGTTGATGGTCACATTCGGCAACATTGGTCGGGATATAACTTTGCCAGCCTGAGATTTATTTCTTTTCGGAGAAGAAGATCTAAAAAAATATATCAAAATTTGTCGTTATTTAGATATTAATAAATCATTTCAGAGCTATAACGCGTGGATGTATGATACTTTTATTGTT